AGTTTTTTCGCCATGACATCCAGAGTCAGGAGCAAGAGGAACGAGCTGAGGGCTGGTCTTTGATATTCCCCAACCGTAATGTTGACCTCTTTTGTCAAGCCGTGCGGGGTGCGCACAGCTGCTTTAGCCCCATCGCACATGTCCTTCACTGTGGAGATGAGGTGCTCAGGAACATTACATTCTTAGAGCGCTCTCTAGAGCACAAGCCGCCGCAGGGGGTCGAATGCCTTCTCAAGGTCCAGGAAGGCTAGGTAGCAGGGTCGCCGCTTCTCTTGGTACTTCTCCATCAGCTGTCTGGCGGTAGAGATGGCATCATGAGCTTTCGGGCATGAAGCCGAACTGCTCCTATGAGAAAGGGACGAGTTCCCTCAGCCGTGTGTTGACTAGGCGCTCGTACAGCTTCATGGTATGGGAAGTCAACTTGATGCCGCGGTAGTTGGAGCACTCCGTCGCGTCCCTTTTCTGTTTGAAGATGGGGACGATTGTGCTGCTCCTCCACGCATCCGGCATCCTTTTTTCAGCCGTGACGTTGTTTAGGAGGTCTGCCAGCCAACTCATTCCATGCTCTCCCAGGGCCTTCCATGCCTCTATCGGTACCCCGTCTGGACCCACTGCTTTCCCTGCTTTCATTCTCCCTAACTAACGGAGGACTTCATCCTTCGTCCAGAACGTGTTGAGACCTGCCGTCGCCTCTATCTGTGGGCTGCCCTTGCGGGGGAATTCTTCGTTCAGAAATCCCTCGAAGTAGTCTTCCCACCTCTTTTTGATTTCGGCTGGTTTCCTGAGAATAGCCCCGTCCCAGTCTTTACGACCCTGATGTCCTGAGCAGCGCGATGCCGAGCTTCAACGAGGTGGAAGACGAACTTCTCCCCTTCTCGGCCCACCAGCTTGTCGTACAGGGCGTCCATTTCCGTATCCGGCCTTAGCAACGGCTGCTTTGGCGAGTCGCTTGCAAGTCTTGTAGAGGGCCAAGTCTCCTGGGCTCCTTGTCTTTTGCCAGCGTTTATATGCTTCCTTCTTCTGCTTGACAACCCGCTGGACTTTCTCGTTCCAGAACCGGGCTGCCTTGTCTCCTCTGATACTACCTCGCGTCTCTCCCAGGACTTCCTTTGCACACTATAGAATGACCTCTGCTGCGTAGGCCCGGGTGTTCTGAACTGGCCCATGTGGGTCTGGTAGCGCGCCTCCAGTATTTTTCGGCCGAGGCTATCCTTTTCTACCTTGTGCATTTTCCACCACAGAGCTCTCCGCTCTGCTCTCACCCTCGTCTTCTTGGGGTGTTCTATGGCGATGTCTGCCAGGAGAGGCCTGTGCTGGGGGTCAAGCTCTTCCCCAGGTTGCACCTTGATATCCTGATATAGTTTTGAGAGAGTCTTCTCACTAGGACATGATCTATTTCCGTTTGTCTCTCTCCACTGCTGTAGGCTATCTTCTGGGTCTTTCTTTTTGCGAAGAAGGTGCTGTAGATTGCTAAGTCGTGGGCTCTGGCCAGGTCAAAGATCCGTTCTCCCTCAGCGTTCTTTGACCCTACTCCTTGACCTCCGTGCACCCTTTCTAGCCTCCTTGTGTCCCATCCCACATGGCCATTCAGATCCCCAGCTATGGTGAGGTAGTCCTCTTCCGGAACCGATCTTATGGCCTCGTCCAGGGTCAGGTAGATCTCATCCTTTTCCGCTTCGGGGCAACCGGATTGCGGTGCGTATACGGTCAGTACGGTCCAGTACCCCTCCTTCGTGTCCATTCTTACTCCCATGATTCGATCACTGATCCTATTCACTGTGGAGACGCAGTCCTTGAGGGATCCTGCCATCGCAATGGCCACGCCATTCCGTTTGGTGTCTGCTTTAATGTAGAAGAGTTTGACACCTTCTCCAATCTCGCGCGCCTTCGCACCTTTCCATCGCGTTTCCTGAAGGCATAGGACTTGGATATTCTTGTGTCTCATGAGGTCGGCAACCTTACGAGACTCCCCCGTAAGCGACCCCACGTTCAGGGTCCCAATTCGAACTAGCTTCTTTGGCCGAGGTCGTTCACCCCTCGGTAGCCCTCGCATACTGAGCACAGAACTCGGGCGAGGGTTCTGCGCGCCACTCCCGGGTGACGTCCTAGCATTAATACTGATTCTATTGCCATGATGGTGACTTGTCATGATGGTTGTGACGGGTTCCCCCATCAGCCGGCCTCTCAACCTAGGCCTGACGTTGGTATCGTCCCCATTTTTGCAATTTTTGCAAGGCATGGTTTGCGCTTCGGCAGAGGTCGAACTTGTGGCTCAGAGTGAGATTATGAGTCTACACACTTAACCGCTTGGCTATCCCTGCAAAATGTTTTCGCAATGAAGTTACTCAAAGCAATTGCTTTGCTTGCATCCGTATGATATCAATATCACTTATCAACAGCTTAAGAGGGCAATCGAAGCTACACATCATTTTACTATTAACATAAGTCTAAAGATGTTTCATAGAGAGATGAGATGCCAGGCGGGGGCTCTCGATATGCCCTTAATTTTTTAGATGGTGATTGACGTCAGCATAGACTTTTCTATAGCGCTCATCACTGAGTGATTTGATGAGCTTCCAAACATTCACAAGCTTCTGGGTAAAAGGTTCCGATGTGACTAGGAAACGTTTAAAACGAAGACCGAGGATAACGTATTATAACATACGAAGCTAATTAGATTTGGCCTGCGATTGAATCTGGTCATTCTTGGACACATTAGAAGAAGCAAAACAGAATCGGATAGTGTTCAAAAAGTATGGACGATGGTAAGGAAAGAGCAGGAAGTGAAAGAGTAAAAAGAACCACTATATTAGAGTTTTACCAAGGGAAAGGACGTGGAGGTGACTGCTAGACGGAACGGTCATCTTCATTTTACCTCACGTCTCTGAGGAAGTCAGTAGTTCAATCAGAAAGTGTCTGGAGTGGTTTGGCTTAGGGAGCACAATGACCATTATAAATGTGAAACCCAGTGATCTGAAACGCCGCCTGGTAGGAAATTGACTATATGACCGTTTATGTACAACCCAAAATTGTGTAGTCTGTCCGACTGGCAGGGAGGCGATTGCAGCATCTCGGGGGTGGTCTACATGATCACCTGTTGTAGTTGCGGGGAGGAGTGCATTGGTGAAACATCGCGGCCAGTCAACGTGAGAGTGAAGGAGCACCTGGACGGCAAGAGTAGATCACGTCAGTCTACTGCCTTGGGGGCCCACAGGGTACAGGTTTATGAAGAGGACGATTTTGGCGTCGAGATCAGGGTCTTGGCGCGAGAATCGCAATCCTTACGGAAAACCTTAGAGGCATTTCGGATTGAGGTCAACAATGCGAAAATGAACCGGACGGGAGAATGCGTCACAGTAAGGCGGGAGCTGAGACCTTCTATAAGGGTGGCCTTCCAATAGTGACCCTAAATGAGTAACAGTCCGAAGCGATTCTACTCCCGGCTCTCTGGTTTCCAAGATAGGTTTGTGCTGCGCTGAATGCCCCTATTGCGATTAGGTGGTGATCTGTAAGGATTCCGAACTCCAGTAAGGTAGTGGAGACGTTTGGACGGGTAGTCATGAAATACTTCGATCCTCCCAGGCTCTGAAGGGGTCGATCACACCAAAGTAGGTCAATAAAGGTTAATTGAAACCTGGTGTAGAGTTCAAACAAGAAATCATACATACCATAGGCAGAGTTTCCAGAGTAGTAATAGTATAATAGTGCCCTCTTAAGCACGCGACCCTTCAACCTTACAGAGATCATAACTTGGGCAATACTGGATCGAAGAGAAAAAAAACAGTGCTGAAATGTAGATTCGTGAGTTGTCACGTTGTAATCGTTACAAATACTTTAGCTCATTAGCAAAATACGCAATTGAGAATCTTCGCTCCATTACCGTAAGTGGAAGCATTGGCAGCTGCGACGATCGAGTCGAAATGAGCCACTAGGAGATCCGAGTGCAGCGTTGCCTTGAGCCTACTGAAGGAAGAGCTTAGATCAGGGCGTAGTCCTTGCATTGACGTTTTAACCGCGTCATCCATGGCAAACGTAGCAGTTGATTCCTGTATACAGAAAGGTACACTGTCGAGTCGAATGCGGAATCAATAGTCCTCGATTCGTTGAAAACTGCTTCCACCAATTGTTACGTTCGCTAACCAGAACAGTCCCGCTTCCTGCTCGATCAAGCTGCTGAGTTGAGTGGCAGTACCCAGCGCAAGCAGGGAGCCTGGTTGACTGCTGTTGGGCAATCAACGAGTCGATCAACCTCGACCTGCTGATATAATCACTTTCGGTGATCACATTACTATCGATTACTATTAACTGTCATGTGTTCATTGTAGACGACATGCGATGCCTAAAGTAACGACGTCGCAATAGATACTGAAGGTCTACGCGCCATCATAGATACCCGGTCCATTTCGAGCTGAGTTCAGCAGCAGATGTTGAGTCAGCAACAGCAAATGCTCATCGAGCTGATAACCCATACGGTCGCCTCTTCACGCCCAACCAGTTCATCTGTTCACGCCGCGCTAGCCGAATTCCTCACGATTTCCCTACATTCGCGTCTGCCTGAGGTTGCATATAGTCCGTACAACGATTCTATTCTTTCGAAGTCTGGTACAACCGATGTGAAGACGCCGTTGCAAAGGACGGCCTCACGTCTGACGACGCTGCAAAGGCTAGACTGATCGTTTTCAAACTCGATGGCGTCATACAGACTCAGTTCAGAAATCGCAGCCTTCTAAAGAAAGCGTGTGACGTTCCGGAGGACACTGCTGTAGTCCTGAAGGAACTGAATGGTCACAATACGTCAATTTTTGCTAGACACTATGTCAAATGCTACAACTCTTGATGCTCGACATACGAGCCAAATACTTCTCCGTTGAGGATTCTTGATTGGAAGCTTGACTCTGGTGAACAGAGGTGCACCGAGATGGCGTAGCCAATGTAGAAAATTCGTAAATCGCTCCCAGAGCACCCCTGAGAGGAATGATTTATTTACCTTACTTATTTTTTCACTGGTCCCTATTAGTGACCATTAATTGCCACCGATTCCAGCATAAAAAAAGAAGATATGCGCGCTTGGATGGCAAAGCCGGGCTACGGAATTTGTGGCGTTGCCTCATCCGGCGATGTGAGTGGTAAGCAATCAACAGAAAGTACCTGTAGAAGAAACTCAAGTCCATTCCCTGTTGCATATATTCTACGTCGTTACTCTCCATTTGAACGGTCACAACATCTTCTAAAACAGTTTTTTGAATGAACTGGGGCGTAGTATGGGCATGAAACAAGGCATGGCTTTAGCACGGCGCCGTCCTGATCGACAATCTGTGAAATCTGTAGAGCTGGGATGAAGCTCAGATTCCCTCCCCTCATTCATAGCAAAAAGTTCGCAAATAAGAACCTATACCTTTTGGCAGCTGCTTCAAATCTACATATCGTCCTGTGTAGGTCCACGTACCGAACTTCATCTCACATCTTTGTGAATCATATGGGAACCAAGTGACATCGATCTGAGCGAGGCACTCTTATTGGTGAGAGAAGACAGTAGAAGTTGTATTCCATTTTCTTTCTGAATCTGAGACTTTTCAAACCAAATCGGACACGCTTCTTACACTGGGAGTTGGTAACTAGACTTTACTATGCTCTGCCGCAATCTCCGCCCTGAAACCCCGTTTACTTTTCAGCGCGGTCATGGTTCCCCAATAACTATTTTATGAACTCTGTTCCTCTGACTTTCCTGCACTTTCTATTTCGCACATACATTCCAAGTGAAAAAGATTGGTACCGACACAGATTCGAATTCGCCCATTTTCAATAAAATTATAGTAAGTTTTGAATTTTTATAAGGATTTTCGTTCTTATCACATTCATTCTTCATATGCTCATATCATGCTCATCATCAAAGTTTTAAACCTTTCCTCAAAAATTTCGTCTTTTTAGGCTGTAACAGGCCCCTTTATTAGTATAATAGAACCGCTTCTCACATAAGCTCCAGCCACTACTGAAAAATGATCCAAGTCGAAAGACTAGTTCCGAACTGGGCAGGTCGTGATCTCCCCCGTCACAGACGAAAAACTAGGAAAAGTTTTACCGGGTGACGGGGAAGACAGTGACTTGATAGTTTGGACCCTAGCCTGCCGATCTGGATCATTCAAGGAAGAAACTGTGAAGTATCTGTGAAAAGGGTGGAGCTTCTAAAAGTAGGCGAAGCAACCTGCTATAGCCTGGAAAGGCGAAGATTCTGAATAAAAGATCAAAGCTCCGCAAGAAGACGCAAAAGTGGGCCTGGCCAGAGAGGGGGGGGGGTTAGTGTGCCAGTGTAAAGGTGCATATCTATGAGTGCACCCGTTTTGTGGTATGTGAAAAAACGAAGTCGAAAAAAGTTATGAAATTTCAAAATCCACGAAGACACGTGTTGTACCAATACTTTTTATAGTGTGAGTGCGAAATAGCAAAAGTGCAGAAAAGTCAGAGGAACAGAGTTCATAAAATAGTTCTCGGAGAACCATGTCCGCGTTCAGGAGCGGGATGTTGGGGCCAGGCTCGCAGCAGTACCTGGTGCGTTCTAGTTATCAACTGCCCAATGTAAGAGATGTGCTCAATTTGTTATGGAAAGCGTCTGATGCGATTTGAAGAGCTGTCGTGGCAAATACTGTCCGATTTGAAATGAAAATGGTATATATATCTTGAACTCACTGGACAGAAGGACTTATAGATCGCTGGCGGCTGCCAAAAGACATGCCCGTCGTGAGTTACCAAGGCGTCCGTGAGAATGGTTATATCTGGATCTCCAGCAGCACTGTAAAATGATTTTATAGAAATATAAATAGGTTGGTCGAAATAGCCATTCAAAATTAGATGTATACTGTAGAACGGGAACTCGGACTCCTACAGATCTGCCCTCCATAGTTGCTAAACTCTTCTGTGAGCGAAGTTAGGCAGCGTTCAGACTTGTAGCGCTACAGCGTCGCGCTGCAGCGTCGCGCTACAGCGTCGCGCTACAGCGTCCGCGCTGCAGCGTCGCGCTACAGCGTAGCACTACAGCGCCGCTTCGCAACGTACTGCTATTCCCAACGTTAGAATGACTGAAGTTGCTTCACAGAGAAAAGTGGGAAGGTTGCTGGAGTTTTCTCGAGAAATTCACGGAAAGGTGAGACTGATACAGCTGTAATTATCTGACCATCCTTGACAGTTACTTCATTAGTCACTATTTTTCTGATACTGCTTTTAGCGTAACAGTGTCCTTCTGTCCTATTAAGAGCATTTTCTGCAAAAAAACACCCAAAGAGTACTCGCGCCACCTAAAAACACGCACGCATGTTTTTTCTTACCGGAGACAGAAGAACCATAAAGGAACTTCTTGTTTGCCTTCTGTTAACGCATTGGTGACCAGACAGTGTTCGCGTGCCTGTTGCGGGAGATAAGGCTATTTTTACGCTCCTAGGCGAAAAAAAAGTACAAGAAACTGTCAAAGCTTCGTTGGCTGTGAATGCCTCGAAAACCGGCATCTTTTTCCTGTGATCCAGGCAGAGATAGGGGGCAAATTCGAAAAGCAGATTTTGCTCCGCTGTAGCGCGACGCTGTAGCGCAACGCTGTAGCGCTACAAGTCTGAACGCTGCCTTATGCAGGATTTTTGACCTGGTCACCCCCATTCCCAGCATGTATGTAAGGCACAAAAAACACCCAAATTCGCTGAAATATGAAATTGTAGGTGGCCTGGTGCTCTGTCAAGTAACACTACAGTCACTTTTCATGAACATTCATTGTTCGCATTCTGACGGGGGAGGCCAGTGACGGTGAAGGTGCAAAGGCCGGTAATCCCATAACAAGCATTCTGCGCCGTGTGTGATATTCGTAATCAGGTGCTTGAAGGCAGCACCCGCGTTCATTTGTTGTTTCCACGCTCTCTTGGGATATTGTAGCTAACCCTATGGGGATAGTGGACGTACCAGTTTCGGAACTCAAAAATGCGAGAGAATAGCGGCGCCCGCTCGTGAAGAGGCGGCCACCCCCCCCCCCCCACCTGGCGACCGCTACGCCCAACTTCATTTCTAATGGTTGCCTGATGGTGCGGTTGTTCCATTGCTGCTTCTCTCCATGTCGAGTGATGAGAGTGAGGTGATAAGGGAAAACAGCTGATACCAACAAGTGAGAATTCGTGCAGCTGCAACCACCGCTCCTTCTCTTCGCCTTGAGCAGTTAGCTGCTATGTACCTTGTTATGACTATTTGACAATGAGCCGCATGACTCATCAAATTAAATACCTTTAGCGCTACCTTTAAATTAGCCGTAGAAGCAAGTCTCCAACCAAATCTGAAAGTTCGACCTGTTTTCGAAACAGTGGAGTAATCATGGGCAGTTAATTCTTCTAAGACACTTCCCGCGACTGCACAACATAGGTAGCAGGGTTCAAAAACAGGAGTGCATTGCGCTTGTAGACTTAGTAGTGAAGAAAGAAAGGTATCCTTCGTGCACTTGATCATGATCATCGCACGAGAGTAGGATGGTCAAGATCAACAGTGATATGCAAAAGGTAACAATACACTGCGAGGCGCGGAGAGAGACCAGAACATGACGGGCAGAGAGCACAACGGCATTAGTACGACGACACGGGCAAGGTAGACAAACATGTGCCTCCTTGGGCCTAAAATCGAAGTTTACTGTGCTTTGCGTGCCATTTTGCAAGTTTTGAATGCAGTGCAACCTCTACAATTGCCTACGGCAGCGTTCATAGTTCGCGACAGCAGCGGCGATTGCTGCGATCGCCGGCATCGTGGCGATCTCGGCGATCACCGCGATCGTCGGTGCATGGAGCGCGCGCCCCAACGCTATTACTTGCGCTCCGAAGGTTTCTGGGGGTAAGCGGCTCAATTTTATGCTTTTTTTCCTTTAACTGCAATTTCCTTAGGTATTGAAGCTTGGTCTGACACAAGGGAAGGTGAGCCTAGCTTAATCGTCTTTTGTTTTCTATTTTCTTTCTTATTAGGATAGAAATGAGCAAAAAGCGCGAGAACTTCGCTTAAGTTTTTCATTCGTCGAGGTTGCACATGAGGTTTATGAAGTTTTCACCTGTTGATGTCGCGTAAAATGATTAGTGCTTTGGTTCCTAGGAGAGTTTCTTTTTGTTTCTTTTTTTACTTCGTTGTGCGAACTCGACTATGAATGTTTTGGAAGTCGGAACAGCTTAGACGATAGGAATTCCTGAGGCGCATGCATAAACTGAAACCACAAAAACATAAAAAAAGAAGCTCACCCAGAAAACGGGGTTGGTCTTACCCCGTCCTAAAAGGAAGTGAAACCTTCTTGCCTCATATTCCAGATCTGCTTATGTGTAGAAAGTCGTAGCTTATCTGTTAGTAGCCCTATCAGCAGTAAAGAAGGTCTTACAAGTTGAATTCCCTTATTCATCAGGCGAGCATCCACAATAGCGTTGGGCCGCGCGCTGCCATGCACCGACGATCGCGGCGATCGTTGCTGCTGTCGCAAACTATGAACGCTGCCTACAGGATCATCTGACGCATTTGAGAGATTACAGCCCCAGTTTAATGTGGAAAGTGCTCGAAAGGTCACTGGTAATATTACCGATCAGAATCTCTGTGCAATGGAGCACTTCCGCTAATCCTGACTGTAGTTGGCTAGTGACAGTCTTGACATTCATTTCCGGCTTCCAAGGCATTTGGTGTCAGTTTTGCGACACAACAAAACGCAAAAAGTAGTGCCACCGAGACCAGCAACCAGAAGTATCTTTCAGGGGTGTTCCAGAACGGTTCAATTGAAATAAATTTTTTTGGTAAGGTCAGGTCCCCTAGCCACGCAAAAGTGCTCTCAGGATGTGCAGAGAGCATTTTTGAGAAAAAGCAAAACACATTAACAAGAGGTATGAACTTTTTACCTTACACGCATGAAGCCAATCGCTTATCCACTATGCCACTGCATCACATGCTGGATGTGTTCACCCATCATTTAGATACTAGTTAAACATTAGCATTGTCATGACCCTTGGTCATGATGACTAGGATGCACGGGTCGCAAATGCACACTTTCTAGAAAGCTCGCTCACCGCCTATAACCAACCAATAGGAGGCCTTGGCACCGCCCACCTCAGCCAGTATTTATACCGCCCATAATCAGGGCTATAAAGGTAAGTGCCGCCAGTCAGTTCGGTCAGTTCCTTCTTCGCAGTCAGTTCCTCTTCTCTTCACAGTTCTTCACAGTTTCTCCTTGCAGTTTCGCTGCTTTAGCAGCCCCACACTTCCACAGCAGTACCCGAACACTACGAGCACACAGAAATGAGAACGAACACGATGTGCCAACACAAGAGACGAGACACAAGACACTGCGGACCCGCTATCGCCCGAAGAAGAACACAAGACAACACAACTTAACTTGCACTTGACACGAATATGCCAGTAGTTTGAGCCTCGTATGTTTATGCTTGTAGTTTTAATGATTGTAGTCATGCTGTATGTGCTATGTGTTATCAATAAACATGTAACCTGTCACTTGAACCACCAAAACCTCATTTGAACCGTGATGCAGTTCAAAACAAGCATTAGTGGTCTCGCGCAGTGGTCTGATCAGCAGGCCTACATAATTCTGTTCAGAGAGTCGCTTAGCAGATTTGGAAGGCAGATTTGAAATAAACGTCCAAGGACGCAGCAGTAGATATACATCACCACTATAAACGGACTAGTTGCTAATGCCCCACCGTCCTACGACAAAACGAAAATCCTTCAATACTTTCGCCAACACTATTCGGAAAATCCATATAATGGATAACTCAGCTACAGAGCAGGTTTATTTCAATTGTGCTTGTAGAAAGATGGGTTTCCAGCTGAACCTCACGAAGATAATGTTCACTATAAACGGACTAGTTGCTAATGCCCCACCGTTCTGCGAAATGTTGTCGTCCTGCTTCTTAGACTCGCGATACTTCAGTAACTCTCGTGATTACGTGGATGTCGTACATAGTGCTCGACACTTTGAAAATCATGGCTCTCCTTCCTATAGCGTTCTGCCAACTCTGTCATGGATAAAGCGGTCTTTGAAACGGAGATCTGAAGAAGCGAGGTATTCATCCTGCTTCAGATGGTACACAGACACGTGAACATGGCTCGAAACACGATCCTACTATATATAATCCGCCAACCAGGAAAGGATGGTTGGTCGAAGTGGCCTTTTGAAACGAGGTGCATAATGACTGATGCGTCCTTGAACGCTGATTTCAAATCTGCCCTCCAAATTTGCTAAACCAACAGAATTATGGGGGCTTGTCGAGCAGACCATTGCTCGAGATCACCAATGCTCAACGGGTCTCTAAATGGTGTGTGAGCTCATCGAGCACGTGCTAGGATGGCGTAGTGGAGAAGCGACCGGTCTCATGCGTGCAAGCTCAAAGGTTCGAATCCTTCGTTAGTTGGTCGTTTTGCATCTTCTCAAAGATGCTCCCTGCATATCGTAAAAACAGTTTTGGTTAGGGGACCTGATCGTACCGAGAAATGTTGATTCTGAAGTTACGGAGTAATTCTGGAACCTCCTGAAAGGGTGCTGCTGATCGCTGGTTTTTGCGGACCATTCTTCCGTCTCGCCGCCTGTGTCTGTGCCCTGCTGACATCTCCGCCGCTCCCAACACTCGGCATGAAAGCCAAAAGTGAATGTCGTGTTTGTGATCAGGGCCGTCAGTACTAAACAAGGACTGAGATTTAGCGAAAAAGCCCCATTGCTCCCAAAGATTTTGCTCGGCGATGGTGCCACCTACCTCAAGGAATTAGTTGCCCATGGTTACCCCAGTGTATCGAAAATAGGTCGAAATCTTAGATTTGCTTAGAAACTTGTCTCCAGGGCTAGTTTGAGCCCC